AGGCTCATACCTCTGATGGCTGCTGATAGCTGTCAGCTGGGGCCGCGTGTTCTGGGGCCACTAAGCCATGTCAGTGACAAAGTGGTGGAGATCCCTGCCCACTTGGGGCCTCCAAGATACCAGGTGACAGGCAGCAAGTGAGATGGGCATAGTGATGATTTTAGTGGGAGCTCCTGCATTGCATCCGCAGTGGGGACGTCCAGCGTCTGGTGGAGCAGAGTTGTGGCCCATCTGCAGGGCTATCCCTGCCTGTCTCACGCAGCTGCCAAGCAGTTTGGGGATGCCAGGGCAGGGACCACACCCCTCCTGCTACCCTATCCACTGGCTGCACAGCGCACTCGGTAGCGGGGCACATTTAATTTCTCTGTGCTTCTTCAGTCCCCACACCTCCCCTGGTCCGAGGTTTGGGGCCTTTGATACTGGCTGGTGGCAGCCGTGGGTGTCAGGGGCCCTGGGCCCTGGCTGAGTCCGGTAGCAGGCTCAACTCACCTAGAGTGGGCTCTCTCAGCTCAGAGAGCTCAGGGCTTCAAAGAGAGAGGTAAGTGGCTGGGAAGATGGAAATGACAAATGCGCCTTGGTTCCTGCATGGTTTCACATCTTTGGCCCTGAGCATGTCAGAGTGCGCCTGGAACCCAGTCCAAGGGGTTCAGAGCAGCATGTCTGCTAGACTCAGCTCCTGGGTGCTGATTCCCCTAGGCCACATGGCCAGGATCAGCTTTGGCATCCTTGTCTGAGACATGGAATGTCACACACCTTGGTGACTACAACTGAGCAAGCATACAAAAGCGCTCAGCACATCCCCAGGCACATGGGATATATATGTATGTGTATGTGTGTGTAATTGGATGTGTGTTTATGTGTATGTGTGTGTGCATATGTGTGTACATGTGTGAAGGCATGTGTGTGTTTACATGTGTGTGTGTGGCAGGCACTCTTGCACATGTGTGTCCCCTGCCCTAACCTTCCCTCAGTCCTCCGCTCCTCTGAGCTGTGAGGAGGGGAGGCTGTAACTGGGCTGGCCTGCCCTGCACTCACCTTGGCCTTGGAAAGGCAGCAGGGAGACCAATCGAGGCAGTGGGCTGTATCCTGCAGCTTCCTAAGTCAGATTAGAGGGTGGTCTCAGTTGTTCTGCAACCAAAACCACCCTCCACCAGGTACTCTGCTCCCTGGAGGATATCTTTATGCCGAGACCCGGGTTTCCCAGTCTGGCCAAGCCTTGATCAGCTGCCCTTGCACAAAAACCCTTGGAAGATAGATGGTCATGCCTGAAGGACCTCCAGAGGAAGGATACAACTCCTCTCCTTGACGGGGATCCGGGCAAGCCAGGCTGCTGCAGCCTCCCCAGGCTCTGGGCCTGCCCCCTGCCACTGTCCTCTGCATAGTTTACTGTCCCTTCTGTAACAAGGAAAATGACACTTTGGTGAATGTTAGCAACTCACCAAGTCTTTGTAACTCAGAGGTATCACCTTCCTTGAAGTATAGTCAACATACAATTAACTGCATATGTTTAAGACGTAAAATTGGATGTTTCAACTTACACACACATACACACACACATGTGATGAGCACCCCTGTCCACTCTGGAAGGCTTCCTTGTGTTCCATTGTAACCCCCACATCACACCTACCCCTCCTTCCAGGAAACATCCTGGTCTGCTTTCTGGCACCACATGTTAGGGTACATTTCCTAGAATTCTATGTAAATGGAAAAACAAGTGGGCACCTTTTCCTTTGTCTTTTTTTCACTTGAAATAATTTTTTTCTAGATTCATCCTTATTATTGAGAAATATTCCTTTTTCCCCTCAGTGATCAAAACGTTTGTGTAGAATTGATATCAACTTTGGTCATTTTTTTCTCAAGTATTTTTCATGCTCACTCCTTTTTAAACACTCCACGTATGTATTCTGGTTACATACGTATTATGCTGTTCATAGTTTTTCTGCATCTCACAATTCACTCTCTCTTTCACATAGATAGCTTCTATAGTCTCTCCAAACTCACTAATTTTTCTTCTTTAATGTCTAATCTGCCATCAGTCCCTTCCAGTGGGTTTTGATCTCACACCTTGTGGTTTCCATCTTTAGAAATTGGATATGCATCTTTTTTTATTTTCTGTGTCTCTGCTGACCTTTTGAATATAAAGCAGGCACTGCTGCTGCCTTAAAGACCTTGTCTGCTAATTCTAGCATCTGTATCAGATACGGGTCAATTTCAATTCATTGACTTTTCCTCCTCACTGTGGGTTATGTATTCTTGCCCTCTATGTCTGGTAATTTTGGGTTGGATGCCAGACACTGTAAATTTCACCTTACTGGATTCTGAATATGTCTGTGCTTCTATAATTGTCCTGGAGCATTGTTTAGCAATGCTATTAAGTTGCTTATAAACAGAGGGAACTTCCTGTTAAAATTCATCAGTATTTGTTAGGTGGGACCTGAGTAGAGCTCACTGTGGGGCTAATTATGCCCTTACACCAAGGCAAGACCCTTCCAAGTTATCTAAGTCCCTGCGGATATTGGGGTTTTCAATCTGGCTGGTGGAAACAGGCTTATTCCCAGCCTTGTGTGAGCCTGAGTTGATGTTCCCTTTGATCCCCTCAGGTAGCTCTTTCTCAAGTCTTGTAGTTTCCTTGCACATGCACTGAGCTAGCCCGAGGGCCCTCGTCAGTTCTCTGTGCTCACTCTGCGCAGCTCTCTCTCTAGCCCCCTACCCTGTGACGCCCAGCTCTGTCTCCTCACTCAGGGGTCGACCTGGGATCCCCTTCTCCAGGCAGGAAGTTGGGGTGACAGAGGGCTCACTGCACATGTTTCTACCTTCAGAAGCACTGTGCTTTGCTGCCTGGGGTAAGGTGTCTCTCAAACTGCTGTTTTGTATGCTTTACCCATGATTTAGTTGCTTCAGGTGAGAGAGTAGCTCCAATTTATTCAATCTTGACCAGAAGCAGGAGGCCCTGAGGTGTGACTGCAGCAGGCTCAACCTGGCACCGGATGGCTGCACTAGACATGCCAAAGCTGACTGTGTGGCCTGAATTCCATCTGGCATATTTTTATTGCTGTGTCATGTCTGATTTCTAGAAACTGGAGATTATCTTCTGTGCTATGAGAAGAATGTTGCAAAGCATGCATTTTCTGTTTAGAAATATTGATATTCCTCCCCATTAAGTTCTTGAAGAATGTGGCAGTAGCAATACTAAATGTGCACCCTGCACTGGTTTTGGTGCCACTTGACTCAGAAGAAATCTGATTGCACTGGGAAACAAGAGTGCAGGAAACTCACAGGGGCTGGATCTTTGCTCAGCTCCTGGGGCCTCACCAGCCCTCAAGGCCATGTGCCTGCAGAGGTGGGTCACACTTCTCTTCTGAGCACCCTCTGCCAGGAGGCCCTTCTGCTGCATGGGTGGCCAAGGGTCAGGCTTCAGGACACCTTTTTGATTGTGTGTCTTGAGGGGAGGGAGACCTGTGCCTCCACTGATGGTTCTTTATTTTGTTTAGTGAGGGAGGAACGGAACGTGTGAAGAAGCCACTAACAGCAGAGCTGATTGTGACTGTGAGCACAGGAAGTGCATGTGTCTGGGAGGGCATGTGGAGACGCCTGCTGGGTCCCCTCAGTCATGATGGGCACTGCACACTCGAAGGGACCCTTTCTCCCTGAGTCATGGCATGACTGGGGACAAGCTCAGTTCTGGCCCCAGTTTTAAGCCGGCCCTAGAAGCTGCTACGTGCCACGACCATTGCCAAACATGCTCCCCTGGGCTGGGGGCCAGGGAATCAGCCATGCTCCATCTACCCACACGCCTCTACGACCTGCGCAACGGTCCCCTGCCCTGAGTGGTGGCCTGAAGCTGCCCTTCCATCTTCTCCCAGGAGAACTAGGTCTGTCACCCAGGTTGCTCTAAGTGCCAGTGAAGGAGGTGGTTGACATTCTCTTTTCACCCTTTTTTTTTAGAACCTCCTGAACTACTCCACTTCAAAACCGCTGGGCAAGAAAAAGATTTTCAGCAAATTCCCCCCACCCCCTCCCCCACCCAGTCTCGTGCAAGGCCAGGGCTGGCCAACCCAAAGGACCCAGAAAGCAGCCAGCAGGGAGCCTGGCACCTGCCCTTCACCTCAGTGCCCTTGCGGAGTCTTCCAGTCTCAGGTAACCCACCTGTCACCCAGGAATAAGTGACTGCTGTTCCTGGTCGCTGTCCTTCTCTGCAGCTCCACTGTGGGTTCAAGTAGAAGATGTGGGGGAATGTCAGTCTCCTGCAGGCTAGTCTCACCTTTGACCCTCTCTGTGCGGGTCTGACACTTGACTGGCTGACACCTGAAGGGCATTTCCCCCACAAGGTTTTCCAGAAGAGGCACCAGGAGAGACCATGAAACAGCCCCAGTGTGTAAATGTAGCAGCGGGAGGAATTTGGGCCCAAGACCCAGGCTCCTCAGCCCCTGGGTCTCTGGAAAGTGTCAGGTCACCTGTCAGACAGGATATCTACAATGATATGGAGGGAGGGTCTTGATGGGCATCCTGCCTCACCTCAGAGCTACCTTGTAGGATAGAGTGTCATGGATGCCAAAGCAGGGTGCAGACCAGACCCACTGTGCTCCAGATGGCTATTGCTATTATTTTATGCATTTATTTCTAATTCATTGAGGAGCAGGAAGCTTCATGCTACAGGATTCATTCCTCCCTGTCCTGTCTTTTTCTTTCACCCTCTCTTTTTTCTTGCTTTTCTTTGTCTCTTTTTCTCTCTCTTTCTTCCTCCCTCTTTCCCTCCCTCCATCCCTCTCTCTCTTCCTTCTTTTTCTATGAAGAAATTAACTTTTAAAATAAAATGTTTTGTATTTGCCATTGCCTGAAAGCCAGCTAAGGCTGACAAGGGTGTTTCAAGCACAGCCCCATGTTGACTTTCTCCAGAGGGGGCTGGTCCACAGCCCAGCAGGTACTGACTGTGCTCATTTCTCCCCAACAGGAAGCCCCCAGCCAGCCCCTCACAGAGATCGGAGAACTCAGCTTTGAGGATGGAGCCAGGAGGGGGCTCCTCAACACCCCCGGCCCCCAATACCACCATGGAGGAGCCAGACACTGGGCCTAATAACTCCTCCCTGGAGCAACCAGGCACAGACCCGGGGAAGCTCCCAGCGCTCCCTGTCGGGCCTGGAACTCACTGTAGGGAGCCCGCCTCTGGGAGCCCTGGCAGCCAGGCCTCTGCTGGGGACATGAGCTCAGTGGGTGAGGCCAGCAGCTCTAAGATCCCCAACCGGGACAGCGGGATAGACAGCCCGTCCTGCAGCGTGGTCGGCGAGCACTTCTGTGAGGACAGCGGCGAGGCGGGCCCAGGTACCGTCATCAAAGGGCCACATCCGGGGACAGCCCTGGGCGGCAAGTCTCCGCAGGAGGAGGCTGATAGTGATGCAGGCGAGGGCAGCGGTGAGGAGCCAGACCCCGAGAACAACCTTTCTAAGGTTGACACGGATCCAGCCAAGGTAGGTCAGCTTCTTGTGCCAGGTGTCAGGGGCTGCAGGGCCCCCCTCTGAGGGTATTAGAGGTTTCCAGGGCCATCACTTAGCCTGGTGGCCGTAGCAGGGTGCACACTCCAATACCACTCCCAAAGAAGCCCCCGCAATGGGTTGGTGGGCAGGCCCGAGGGCAGGACCACGCAAGCAGGGGTCTCCCCGACCCGTCAGGCAATGATCTCACTCCTAAGCCTCAGTTCCATGGCCACACAGTGGCCCAGTCTTAATGGAAACAGCGCTACCACCAGCTCTGTTCACTGATGCTTGCTGCCTGCCTAGCAGAACCCCCATGAAGAAGGCAGCTTGATTATCATGTTGTTTTATGAATGGGAAAACACTAGGGTTGCCCATAGGGTGTACAGAGGCAGGAAGGGAGCCCAGGCATGGGAGTAGAGCCCCATGCAGATGGCCCAGGGAAGCAGGTATGCTCATGCCTTGCAGCTCAGTGTTAGAGAAAGCTCATCTGCGTCCCTTTAGCATTCTGGGCTCTGGGCTCTGCGCTGGGACTCATGGGGACATGGGAGTAAAGCTGACAGCCCTGGCTTAGAGGGACCGCATGTGCATGGGAGGAGAACAGCATAGGTAAGCTGCAAGCGACTAGGTCTCAAGAGAAGCACAGGTGGCCTTTGGTTGGAGATGGTATTGACAAACATGACTTCATCCAGAGGCAGGTTGGTGGGCAAATGGCAGCCACAGGCCTATGCTGTTGTAAGCCAAAGTCTCAGCAAGTGGGCTGGGGGCATATTTTAATCTAGGTTTTATTATTACTCAGGAATGGCAAAGCCAACAAATCAGGAGATGACTTCTGTGTAAAGACATTTTATTACTCATAGCTCAGGAGAAGAGGGGGCACATCATACCAAGGAGAACCAGAAAGAAACGCACCAGGGTGGGTCAGAAGACAGAGGGGGTGGAAATTGTGAGCAAGAATCTTTTTTTAATCACTTAATGATTTTTTTTTAATTGAAGTATAGTTGATGTACAAGTACTATTTAAGTTACAGTAGAGTCTTTATTGTGATTTCTGAAGAGATGGATGGGTGAGACGGAGTAAGTAGGCTTAAGCTTGGCCAGTCTGAATAATTTCAGTGGGCTCTACGTATAGGGGCTGTCCCTGGATACCTCACACCTGGCCCTGTGTGATTCAGGAAAGAAGGTTGTTGGCTGTGGGCTCTGGATGGGTTGGTTTGCACTTGAAACACACTATTTGTCTTGCTGGGGAATCCTTTATATCTCTAGGAATCAGTGTACACTGGGAGGGACAGTATCTCCAGAGTCAGCAAGGCCCCAAAGCTTTGGTATTAAGATAATATTGGTCTCGTAGAATGAGTTAGGCAGTGTTCCTCATTCTTTGAATTTTTTGGAAAAATTTGAGAACAATTGGTGCTAATTTCCCAGTGAAACCATCTGGTCCTGGGCTTTTCTTTGTTGGGAAGTTTCTTTATTGTTTATTTAACCTTCTTATTTGTTATTGGTCTGTGCATATTTTCTATTTCTTCATGATTCAGTCTTGGTAGGTTGTGTTTCTAGGAATTTATCTATGTCTTCTAGCTTATTCAACTGTTGGCATTTAATTGTCTATGATTCCTTGTATTCTGTGGTATCGGTTGTAATGTTTCCTCTTTCATTTTATTTATTTGATTTCTCTCTCATTTTTTTGGTTTGTCAATTTTGTTGATCTTTTCAAAAAACAACTCTTAGTTCTGTTGGTTTTTTTTTTTTACTGTATTTCTACTCTCTGTGTCGTTTATCTCTGCTCTAATCTGTTAGTTCCTTCCTCCCGACTTCTTTGTGTTTAGTGTGTTATTTTTCTAATCTTGAGGTACAAAGTTAGGTTGTTGATTTGAGATCTTTCCTCCTTATACACGTACACATTTACAACTATAAATGACCCTCTTAGCACTGCTTTTACCACATTCTGTAAGTTTTGATATGTTGTGTTTTCATTTTCATTTGTCTCAAGCTATTTCTAATTTCCTTTGTGACTTCTTTGACTGCTGTTAAAGAGTGTACTATCTAATTTCCAGAAATCTGTGGATTTTCCAGGTTTTCCTGTGCTATTGATTTCTAGTTTCATTCTGGTGTGATTGGAAAAGATGTTTCATATAATTTCAATCTTCTTCAATTTGTTAATGTTTGTTTTGTGGCCTAACACATGGTCTGATCTTGAGGGTTTCCATGTGCACTTGAGAAGAATGTATGTTCTGCCATTATTAGATAGAGAGCTCTATACGTGTCTGTTAGGTTCAGACACTTGTTCAAATCCCTTGCTTCTTTATTGATATTTTGCATGTCCTATCCAGTATTGAAAGTAGAATACTGAAGTCTCCTACTGTTATTTTGTTGTAATCAGCTTCTTTCTTCTAATCTGTTGAAATTTGCTTCATATATTTAGGTGCTATGAGGTAAAAAACCTGCCTACAATGCAGGAGACCCAGGTTCGAGTCCTGGTTTGGGAAGATCCCCTGGAGGAGGAAATGGCAACCCACTCCAGTATTCTTGCCTGGAGAATCCCATGAACAGAGGAGCCTGGTAGGCTACAGTCCATGGGGTTGCAAGAGTCGGACATGACTTAGCAAGTAAACCACCACCACCATGAGGTTTGATGCATATTTATACTTTTTATATCTTCTTGGTGAATTGGTCCTTTTATCATTATATAATGTCTTTGTATTGTGTAAGGTTTTTTATTTAAAGTCCATTTTGTCTGATGTAAGTAGGCCACTCCTGATCTATTTGTTGACCATTTCCATGAAATATCTTTTTACATTTTTCACTTACATCCGATGTATATCCTTAAGTCTAAAGTGAGTTTCTTCTCTTTTTATACATCTCTTCTTCTCTTTTTATACTCACTAAAGTGAGTGTGCTCAGTCACTCAGTTATGTTTGACTCTTTGTGACTCCATGGACTGTAGCCTGCCAGGTTCCTCTGTCCATGGAATTTTCCAGGCAAGAATACTGGAGTGGGTTGCTATTTCCTCCTCCAGGAGATCTTTCCAACCCAGGGATCAAACTCTCATCTCCTGCATCTGCTGCTTTGGCAGGTTGATTTTTTACCACTGAGCCACCTTGGAAGACCGAGTCTTTTGTGGGTAGCATATAACTGAACGCTATTTTTTTAAAAAAAAATCTGTTCAACCAATTCATATCTTTTGATTGGGGAGTTTAAATCATTTACATTTAAAGAAACTACTGATATGGAAGAACTCAGTATTGCCTTTTTCATTGTTTTCTATATGTTTTGTAACTTTTTTGTACCTCACTTACTGCTTTCCTCTTTTATCTGATTTTTTGGTAATAATATGCCTTGATTCCCTTCTCATTGCCCCTTGCGTATATTCTATATATTTTTCCTATTGCAATTACATAAAATATTTAAAGTTATAGCATTGTATTTTAAGCTAGTAAAAACTTACTTCAATGGTAAACAAAAACTCTGCTTTACAGCTGTCCCTACCAGATGATCTATGTGATATCACAAATTATATGTTTATATGTACAGTATGCCCTTTCACATAGATTTATAGTTTTTAAATGTTTTTGTCCTTTTTGTGTTATTTTGTACCAAAAATTATGATAGTATAGGTTACTATATATGTTCATGCATTTATTTTTATTGAAGAGCTTTATATCCTTATATAACTTCATGTTGCTATCTACCATCTTTTCACAACTTAAAGGACTTGACTTCCTTCAGCATTTCTTGTATAGTAAGTCTAGTGATAATGAACTCTTTATCTTTTGCTTATTCGGGAAAGTCTTTATTCTTCATTTTTGAAGAACCACTTTGTTGAATAAGGTTTTCTTGGTTGACAGTTGTTGTTTTTTTTTCTTCAGCACTTTAAATATAGTATCCCACTGCCCCCCTCCCCACCTTTTTCAATAATAGGTCCCAGTGTGGTTCTTTGGATTTGTCCTACTTGGAGTTCCATGAGATTCTTGAATTTGTATGTCCATTTCATTTGGGAGACATTTTCAGCCAATAATTCATCAAGTAAACTCTCTGCTCCTTTCACTCTTCTTCTGGGACTCTCATAATGCATATATGGTCAATTTGATAGTATTCCATAAACTTCTGAGGCTCTCTTTGCTTTTCTTCATTGTTTTCCTTTTTGTTTCTCTGACTTAATAATTTCAAATGACCTAGATTGAATTTTTTAGTCTAGTTATTGAAATTTTCAGCTCTAGAATTTCTGTTTGGCTCTTTTTTATAGTTTCTATCTCTTTAATGATATTTTTATTTAGTTGATGCATCACTTTCCTGATTTCATTTGTCTATTTGTGTTCCTTTTTTTTTAAAGCTCATTAAGTATCTATATGACAGGTATTTAATATTTTTTTATAGGCAGCTCATAGATCTATGCTTCTTTAGGGTTGGTTTCTAGAATTTTATTTTGTTCCTTTAATCACACCATGTTTCCCTATTTCTTTGTAATATTTTGCTGGAATTTGGGCATCTGAAAAACAACCGCCTCTCCAGTCTTCACATGCTGGCTTTGTGCAGGGAAAAATCTTACAGGCTAGAAGTTCTAAAACTTAGTAAACTTTGCCTGATCTCTTGCTCCTCTGGCATCTGCCTGCAGATCATCAGCTCTAACATGCTTCTTGCCTCTGTTTTCAGTGTCTTTCAAACTCTGGCACTGGTCATGATAGCATTCCAAGTCTGGCAAGACAGAAACCATCCCTCAGGCAACTTCCAGATGAGACAGAACACTGCATGTACAGTTCACTCCTTTGTTTTCATCCTGAGGGAGGAGTATCATGGGGAGGGGGAGTTCCTCCCAGTTGTGCCATGCTATTTTGTTTGGGGGAGGAACATAAAAGGGTATTCCAAACACACCAGTTTTCATTCTCTGCTTGATAGAATCTCTTCTTAGTTTTAAAATGTCTTGGAAGCCATAGTTTCTCAGCTGTCTTGAGATTTTACAGAGGTATTCTTATTTGTATATTATTAACTCCATGTCTATGTAGGAGAAGGAGGGCCTGGAGCTTTCTTTTTTGTAAATTTATTTTCTTGAAGCATAGTTGATTTCCAATGTTATGTTAATTTTTACTGTAAAGTGATTCAGTTATGCATTTATATATATGTATGTATGTATATATATATATATATATATATATATACACACATTCTTTTTAATGTTTTCTATTATGGTTTATCACAGGATATTGGATGTAGTTCCCTATGCTATACACTAGAACATTGTTGTTTATCCATTCTATATGTAGTAGTTTGCATTTGCTAATCCCAAACTCCTAGTTCATCCCTCCTACACCTCACCCTTCTTGGCAATCACAAGTTTGTTCACTATATCTGTGAATCTGTTTTTGTTTCATTGACAAGTTCATTTGTGTCATATTTTATATTCCACATATAAGCAATATCTGGAGGAGGGCATGGCAACCCACTCCAGTATTCTTGGCTGGAGAATCCTCAAGGACAGAGAAGCCTCATGGGCTACAGTCCATAAGGCTGCAAAGAGTCAGACACAACTAACTAAGCATATAAGTGATATCGCATGGTCTTTCTCTGTCCGACTTACTTCCCTTAGTATGATAATATCTAGTCCATGTTGCTGCAAATGGCATTATTTCATTCTTTTTAGTGGCTGAGTAATATTCCCTAGTATATACGTACCACATCTTCTTTATCCATTTATCTGTTGACAAACATTTAGGTTGTCTCTGTGTCTTGGCTATTATAAACAGTGCTGCAATAAACACTGGGGTATGTGTACCTTTTTTAATTATAGTTTTCTCTGGACATATGCCCAGGAGTGGGATTATAAGATCATATGGCAACACTATTTTTAGTTTTTTGAGGAAACTCCATATTGGCTACATCAACTTATATCCCCACCAACAGTGTAGGAGAGTACCCTTTTCTCTACACCCTCTCTAATATTCTTATTTGTAGCCTTTTTTTTTTTCATTTATTTTTATTAGTTGGAGTTTGTAGACTTTTTAATGACTGATGACCACTCTGACCAGTGTGAGGTGATACCCTCATTATAGTTTTGATTTGCTTCTCTGTAACAATTAATGATGCTGAGCATCTTTACATGTGTCTATTGGGAGGGCTTGTAGCTTTCTAATTTGCCATATTGATGATGCCATTCCACAGTATATTTTGATGTGGCTACTGTAGCTGCTGTGCAGTCAAAGCCCTGGGAGGATAGAGTTTTCCCTTGGCTACAGAAAATTTGAGGGGATTGGTAAAAACTATTCTGTCTCCCCCAGAAACCTCCCTGGAAATTCCATCTGTGAGAACTGAGCCTCACATCCCAGTTCCAGCAGTTTCCTCTGATCTTTGGGGGCCTGTGGTCATCCCCGGTATGCAGTGTCAGTGCTGCCTCCCCCAAACTCACCTTCCCTAGGTGAGTTACAGCTCTTCTCTTCACAGTGCTCTGAGCCTCAGAAGTTGCTCCACATTGCCCAGGAGCTCCTGCACACGGAGGAGACCTATGTGAAGCGGCTGCACCTGCTAGACCAGGTAACCCTCTCGGCTTGGAGCCTGGCTTTGTCTACTTCCAGAGTTTCAATGGGCAGTTTCAGAGGCAAACTTTCTATCTTAGCATTGGCTAGGCCTTGCAGTTGGAATATGCCTGACATGAATACTAAAACTTGGACATATTTAAATCTCCTCCAGAAATTTTTAGTTTTTGCTTTTACAACTTGTGGCTCTGGGGTAAAGGTCTTGTCTAGTCACCTTGGGGATTTTTCTTCATGGCAGTTAAATTACCTGAGCAGGTAAATGCCCTATGACAGTGGGTGGCATTCTCCCTCTTCACCTGGCAACATGGGGTTTATGAGCACAGGAAGTAAAACTCCAATAGAAACCAGGCTTTGACAGGTGCTGCTTCTGTTTGTAGCTCACAAAACAGAGAAAGGAAATCCGGACCATCCATTTCCCATGAAAGGCAGATGGAAGAAAGATGGTCTGTCTCAGTCTAGAGGGGACTGTCCCTGCCTCACTCCCAATTCTTGGCCAGAAGTAAGCTTGCTTTAAGACCATAAGGTTCTTTAAGGCAGTTTGATGAAGCAGAAGTTTCATTAAGAAAACATAAGGCAATGGCAGCCTCTCCTGAGCTCCCATGTCTGTAGCAGAAGCATGCTTGTAACCATTTGCAGTGACCCACATTTAGTGACCACTTCAAGGGCTTCTCCATGCCTAGGTTTTCTGCACCCGGCTGACAGAAGCAGGGATCCCTTCAGAAGTCACCACAGGCATCTTCTCTAACATCTCCTCCATCTATCGCTTCCATGGGCATTTCCTCCTGCCTGAGCTGCAGGCACGGATCACGAATGAGTGGTAAGTGCAACTCAGGGTGCCTGGGAAAGTGGAGGGGATGACATTTCCCCGGGAGTTTGGTTCCTGTGCCTTTGGAGGTTGAAGGTCATGGTGATCCTGTTGCAGTGTTTTGTTGTATATTCCCTTTAAATCTGGGGTTTGCATGCCCCCAAACCAGGAGCTACCTGGGAAACCTGTCTCCTAGGGTCCTAGGCTCTCTTTTGCAGGGTCCTGGGCCAACCCTGACCCCATGGCCTCTCAGTGTCTTAGCTTCTTCATCTGCAAATTGGTGGTGGTGGTTTAGTCGCTGAGTCATGTCCGACTCTTGGACTGTAGCCCACCAGGCTCCTCTATCCATGGGATTTTTCAGGCAAGAATACTGGAGTGGATTGCCATTTCCTTCTCCAGGGGATATTCCCAACCCAGGAACTGAACTCGGATCTTCTGCATTGCAGGCAGATTTTTTACCGACTGAGCTATGTAAGAGAATTTAATACCTGCTCAGGGCTTTGTTGGTTGCCCAGTTGTGTCCAGCTGTTTGCAAACCCATGGTCTGTAGCCCACCAGGCTTCTCTGTCCATGGAATTCCCCAGGCAAGAATCCTGGAGTGGGTTGCTATTCCCTTCAGGACTTCCCTGATGGCTCAGCTGTAAAGAATTTGCCTGCAATGCAGGAGGCTTGGGATCAATCCCTGGGTCGGGAAGGTCCCCTGGAGAAGGGATTGGCTACCCACTCCAGTATTCTTGCCTTGAGAATTCCATGGACAGAGGAGCCTGGCAGGCTATAGTCCACAGGGTCACAAAAGAGTCAGATGTGACTGAGCACATTGAGCATATGCTACTGTAAATAGAATTGTCTGGGCTTCACTGGTGGCTCAGACAGTGAAAAATCTGCCTGCAATTCAGGAGACTGCAGTGCATGAGATGTGGATGTGATTGATAGGTCAGAAAGATCCCCTGGAGAAGGAATTGGCAAAACACTCCAGTATTCTTGTCTGGGAAATCTCATGGACAGAGAAGCCTGGTGGGCTACAGTCCATGGGGTCACAAGAGTCAGACATGACTTAACAACTAAAACCACCAAACCAGGGCTTTGCGGAATTTAAGTGAGGTTTGACATCTGCAAACACCAGTGAATAGACCATGCTTATGGGTTTATTTTCCCTCCTAGTATATACTGCACCTCTGCTTTAAAAAATAAGATGTTTTTCTCTCTCATGAGTGTCCCCAGAGGGCTGTCCCTCTGTCCCTCTTGCTGCTTCCATTTATTTGTAGCAGAGGGACAGCTCAGCTGCAAGGCCTGTGATGTCCCCAAGAGTCCATTCTCTAAGCTAGAGCCAGGCCAGAGAGAATACAGAGGCCAGAGGCCAGGGGCTTGACTGGGGGGTGTCCCTGCACCTGCAAGGCTCAGCAAGCATCCAGGTCAATTTGTAAATATTTAGAAGGACATGCTCCACTTGCAGAGCAGGTTATACTGTGTACAAGGCCATGAGGTTAAAGCTCAGGGCTGGATATGCAGTGCACACCTGCTAGAAATGACTTTCCCCTTCAAGGCCCCGAAGAGACTGTCAGTACACAGACACTCCTTGTGTAATAATGGTGCAAGAGTCCAGGGGTTTCCCCTCTGCCTTTAAAGCCTGTTCCTAGTAATGCTGCAGAGGATGACTTTTTGCCTGTGCCTTTTTTTCTTGTTTTGGATTATTTCTTTAGGATAAACCCCCCACAGTTCTAAAGTCTAATATATTAATATATTTTTGGTTCTTTTAAATTTATTTCTAAATCCTTGTCCAAATCATTCATTATTACACAGTGCTGCTTTCTGAAGATATTGCCAGAATTAGATCATCCTATTGTTTCTAATCGTTGCTCATATAGAAGTATAATAGGGTTTTCTTGGTTCTCTTCGATAACTGGCTCATCAAGTGGTTCCACTATTACTAACAGCTCCTGGTTTTGAGCAACGGTTCTGTGACTGCACTGTTGAAGTACTTCACATGATCCTGTAGGCAACACACTATTTTCTATCCCATGTGATATAGGAGAGGAAAGTAAGGCTTAGAGAGGGTGACCAGTTTGCCCACAATCACACAGACTTGGGAGTCAGGCCATTGTCTCATAGTTCCCTGTGAAGTTCCTGTCCCACCCTGGCCCTTCACTGGAGCTATGTGTGTGATGATCTCATTCCCTGGTGAAGGGATGTGAACCCCCGACTTGGAGACATCCTGCAGAAGCTGGCCCCGTTCCTCAAGATGTATGGTGAATATGTCAAGAACTTCGACCGGGCTATGGAGCTGGTGAGCACCTGGACCCAGCGCTCACTGGTATTTAAAGACATTGTCCAAAGCATCCAGGTAGGTGGCCCCACCTCTGCTTCATGGGCACAGTGATGGATTTGTGTTTCAACATGGAGGAAATCAGTAAAATTGTGGGATGTGTCCAGATGCTCTATTAATGCTTTGATCTTTAAAATAACTCCAAGAGACAAATCATCATTTTCATTTCATGGAAGAGGAAACAGTGGCTCAAAAAGTTTGTGTGACCGTGTCATCACAAACTATTATTCAGTAGGACCAGGATCCAAATGCCAGTGCATCCCTCAGTGGCTGGTGCAAACACTTAGGAAAATGTTGCATCAATCTTTTCTTTCTCTTTTTCTGCAAACAGACTGTTCACAGCTCTGGTTGCTGTTGTCTACTGCCCTGTTGGTCTTTTTCTTTTCTTTAAATTTCTTTTTCTTTCCACTAATTCATGTGGATTTTACATGTTAAGAATGTTAGCTGTTAACTGTCAAATGTGTTGCAAATTATTTTTCCCCATTGATGTTTTATTTTTTAACTTTATGATGTTGTTTTCCATACAAAATTTGAGGGTTTTAATTGGCCACATTCACCAATTTTAAATAAAATAATTCTTTTAAAAATATTTCAAGTATGAGCCACCTGCACCCACATGCATATATGAACATATGTAACATATGTGCACATGTGTACATACACATGTATATGTGCACCTACATTCCTCACCGTACCCTGGAGAGTTAATGGGCACTGAGCCCTCTGTGCTAAGGCTTTGAAGGACAGGTTCATATCTGGGGTGGCCCCTTGATAATTTTCTGGGTTTTCCCCAGATCCCACTGTAATCAGATCACTCATGATTTCTTAGTATAGAGTCCTGGATCTGCCTACATTTCTCAGCATCCCCCACTCTCCCCAGAGAGGATAGCTCTGATTCTGAGTGCTCCTTTCTCCCCTTTTACCTGCAACCCCTACACCCTCACCCGCTCACTTACAGCTGGGTCTCCCAGCTGTCCGCACAGAACAGTCTCCAAGGAGGATGTATATAAAAGTGCCAGCACTGGGTCTAGAGCAGGCCTGCCTGGGGTGCAGCTCCTCGCTCCATTGTTCAACCTCTCCAAGCCTCAGTTTCCTCTGTGTAAGATGCGGCCTGCCGTCAGTTGATTGTGGGTACTCCAGGCAGCCTTCTGGGGGCTGCAAAAGCTGGAAGCGTGGAGTGTGCCTGGGAGCCACATGCCTGCCCATGGGTGCCCCACTCCTCCTCTATCTACCCCACAGAAGCAGGAGATGTGTGGAAACCTGACACTGCAGCACCACATGCTGGAGCCCGTGCAGAGGGTCCCCCGCTATGAGCTGCTGCTCACGGACTATCTGAAGAGGCTCCCAGAGGACGCCCCAGACTGGAAGGATGCAGAGAGTGAGCTGGCCTGGGCGGTGGGAGTTGGGGCTCCTGCTGAAAACCCACATCGAGAGAGACAGACAGACAGAAAGATAGAGACAGAGAGACAGAGACAGAGAGAAGGAAAGAGTTCCAACTGACCCCTAAACAGGAAGTGACTGAGTGGAAGGGAAAACCTCTACTGCAGTGTGAGGAGAGGATGATATTCTTGTGGAGGGAACTGCTAAGTGCTGGCAGAGCTTAGGGCTCATGGAGGACCTTGTGGAGCTGGCAAGGCTTCGCCTGTGCATGGGCAGAGGCTGGTGGGCAGCATGGGGCAGGATCTACACAGGGGAATGGAACACCAGCCTTGGCAGACCCCCAGCAAATGGGACATGTCTGCAAGCTTGCACTGCCCCACCCTGGGCCAGTTCTCATGAGCACCTGGTACAGACATGGGAAAGGATAGGAGCAGGGCAGAGTCTGGCACTCAGCTTCACGGGGTAAGGACCTGTGCGGAGCCACCAGGTGCCCTGTAGCTAGATTCTGTCATCTTTCTGCAGGGTCCTTGGAGCTCATCTCCACAGCTGCCAACCACTCCAACGCTGCCATTCGGAAAATGGTGAGTGTGAGCATTCCCAGAAGATGCCTGAGGAACCAGCAGTTTAGGGCAGGGCAAGCATAGGGTGGGTGAAGCATCATCAGTTATGCACACTCACCCACCTGCCCCCAGGAAGACAGAGGCTCTGCTGAGAACTATACAGGCTTGCCCCTTACTAGCTTGATGATTGCTAGTAAGTTATACAGTACCCTGTGCCTCAGTTTCCCCATCTGTAAAATGAGGTCACTGACAAAACTTGTCTCATTGGGGATTGTGGGGATCAAATCACTCTACATAAAGTGCTCAGAACAAGACCTGGTACAGTCCAATGTTAGATCTCAATGTTCGCATCACTCATTTGATTGTTCATTCATTCATTCAAGCTCTGTCAGCTGGGGCTGCTATAACAAAGTATTGTAGACTAGACAGCTTAAACAGCAGACATTTACTCTAACCACTCTGGAGGCTGGAAGTCCAAGATCAAGGTGCTGATGGATTTGATTCCTGGCTTGTAGACAGCCACCTTCTCGCTGTCCTCACATGGCAAAAAGAAAGAGCAAGTTCTCTGGTGTCTCTCTTATTAGGGCTCTAATCTCATCATGATCCCCTCCCCACCCCATGACCATGACCTCATCTAAACTTAATCATCTATCAAAGGCCTCATCTCCAAGTACAGCCTGAAGGTGTCCTCTTGTTGATCTAACACCTCTGAGCAATGGGGTCTGCAGATGGGGAGGCCTCCTAGCTCATACCAACACCTTTTGACCCAGCTGGCATTATTTCATCACAGCCCTTGTTTGGCCTGCACACTGCCTGGACATGGTGTAAGAATTTCTAAGTCCTTACCCAGAATTTTAGATCAGGGCACTTCACAGGAGAATCCAAATTCTTGGCTTTACTGGAAAACTCTGAAAGCCCCAGGGCCACACTTCAACCTGGGATGAGGTGAGGTGTCTTCTCAGTGAGCTGGCTCTCCAGCCTGCCACAGTCTCTATGCAGCCCTGGTTCCCTCAGTCCTGGGACCTATTTACTTTCACATGGGCATTGCTGTTTTTTGAGATGAGAAAGAAAGGGAAATATTTCTTTGACCACACATCTCTCAACAGGGAGAAATGAGAGATGGGCAGCCTGTTTTGGAGCAGCTCTTGTTATGTGTGATCCATGTCCTATGTCCTCCTACCTGACTTTCCCCAGGATTGGATCTGCATTGGGGGTACCCACAGCAACCAAAACAAGCAACATTTCACTCTAGATCCTTTTAAATCTAATTTCCTGTCTTTTTCTCCCCAATACTAAATCTAATGGAGGAGAAAGAGCTGCTTCATGGAACTCCAAAGTCATGAGGTCACATAGAGCCCGTGGACCTTTGCAGGAGCCGCTGTGGGCCTACATCTCTGAGGGGCATGGGATGGACTCCCATCACACTATAACATATTCACCACGTGGCAGTTCTCACTCCAAGTCTGGTGAGGCCTCTGTGACAGTCTGGGGGCCCTTCTCAGGTGCAGGGGACGGTTTATCAGTGCGTGCTCATAGGAGCCTCTTCATGCGTCCACCTATCTATCCGTAATCTCCCCATCTTGGACCACCACTGCACCCTCCCCACCTCCAGTCTCCCTGGACTCTGATCCACCTTTCTCTGCCCAGAGCCTTCTCTGGGTTGCTTATTTTGTCACTCCCTGTTCAGAACCCTCCTGACCTGCCATTTCCTCCCAGGTACACACATAAGCTCTCCAACATGCCATCTGCATGCCTGCCTTGTCTGCTCCTTCTTAATCTCTATGCTGGGGTCCCCTTTCTGCTTCCATGCCCATATCTACCACCTGTTTCCATACCAGAGACAGAAGGGCCAACTAAACCAGCCTGCTTCCAGGGCATGCGGGCTAAGACTGGTCAGATCCAAGGGCAGTGGCTGCTGTAGCATGGTGGATCCACTCTCCCTGATGCTGGGTTAAGGGTCCTTAGGCTCAGCTCTGCCTTTTGCTGTGTTCATTCCTTCATTCCTGGCTTAGGTGCCTCTCATCCCAGAGCTGGAACAATGAACTGCCTATCCTCTCCCCTCATACCCCAGGGGAGCTGGTTGATCATATGACCACAAAACCCAGTCTTGAGGCCAGAGGGAGATGACCTGAAGATAGGCAGAGGTCTGGTCTTATCATGGCCCTGGGCCATCTGAGGGTGGAGCAGGAAACCCAGTAAGGCTAAAACACAAGAGGGGCCCAGCATATCTCCTCTGACCCAAAGGCCTTCACTGCCTCCCCATAGAAGGCACTGGCATGCAGTGTGGAGGCCAAGAGAGCCAGTCTCAGTTCTCTAGCTGAAGCACCTCCAGCAACTTACTTAATTTCTCTGTGTCTCAGTTTCTCTGTCTACAGGTTGAGGATAATAATGGGATCTGCCTCATAGAACCCATGCTAGAATTAGGTTAAATACACCATGTGTATTAAATACACTATGTGTAGAACAGGGCAGGGCACATAGCAATGGTGCTAGCTGCTGTTATAATTGAATAGTAATTATTAACATGCGAGGTGGACTTCTATTCAGTGCCCAACTTGAGTGTCACTCGTGTTTTCCCTCACATCCGGTTGTACACAGGCTCATGGTCTCATCTTGGTTCTGGTCCACGCTTGCAGGGCAGGGTTCCACTCATCTCTGGGTCCCCAGCCCTAGCAGGCCTCCAGTCCGTGTGGCTGTGCAGCTGCCTGAGTCCCGTGTCTCTCTTAGGAGAAAATGCACAAGCTTTTGGAGGTGTACGAGAGACTGGGTGGGGAGGAAGACATCGTCAACCCTGCGAACGAGCTGATCAAGGAGGGCCACATCCAGAAGCTGTCCGCCAAGAATGGCACCACCCAGGACCGCCACCTCTTCCTGGTGAGCCCCCATCCAATCACACCAGCCCTGCCTACTCCAGCCCAACCCAGCTGCAGAGCCACAACCCTGCCGCGCCTCACCCAGCGCAGATGCAGAGTCCTGGCCCACCCGGTCACTCAGCCACACCCTCACTCAGCCCAGACCCAACCAGCGGCAAAGCCACGCCCAGACGCTAAGCCACACCCTCAGCCCTCCCACTAGCATGCTCTAGCCACGCCCACATCCATCCCAGCCCCACCCAGCCCTGTCCACCACCGCCAGGGCCACGCCCCACCTCCTCCCTAGGGTGCTCCTCTCTGGGCTCAGACGCCCTTCATCGCGTGCCTGCCCGTCCCTATCGCAGTTCAACAGCATGATCCTTTACTGTGTGCCCAAACTGCGGCTTATGGGCCAGAAGTTCAGTGTCCGGGAGAAGATGGACATTTCCGGCCTCCAGGTGGGTGAGCCCCTCCCACGCAATCTGTCCTCTTGGGAGAGCACGGAGCAGGTGTAGGGACACAGGGCTCTAGCCACTTACCGCTGTGCAACTGGTCATCTGCCTGCTTCTCTGAGCCTTGCTTCTGTCCTGATCCAGGCGTGCCGGAACATCTCTGAGGGCTCCTTGTCCTGGCATCCTGGACTGAGTGGGCAGGATCCTGGCCCCTCCGCTTGGCCTACCTGCCAGCACATGTAGGCTTCGTGTTGGGCTGAAGGGCCATGGCAGGACCAGGCTGTCTCCTGTCCCCAGCACTCAGGGCCCCCTTTACAGGCTCTAAGTGAAGCATGAGGTGAATACAGATGGGGTGCCCATCCTGTCTGTTCTTTGGTCCTTGGTCCTATGCTCCCTACACTCCTGCACCAATCTGGAACCTGAATGAGGTTCTGCTGACATCTATACCCCAAATCCAGACAGCCTGTTGTCCTTGCTGGCCCTCTTCCTTGAGTCCATCTGTGTCTTATGCTATGGGGCTACTGGAGCTGGAATCAGTGCCCCTTCTCCTGTGGGGGAGTACTTTGAATATAACAGGCACTCCAAAAATGCTGGCTGAAGCAAAGTACTTAGTTATTCTGAAAAGTAAAGATTTGCTAATGATAAAAAAAAAAAAAAACCTTCTGATAGTGGCCTGCCTGTGGGCCACATCCAGCCAAGGGCTGAGAGAATGAGGAGTCTAGGGGATTAAGGATGGCTCCTTGTTGCAGATGCCCCTGGATCCAAGGTACCTGCCCATGGGGCCTCAGAAACCCCTGCAGAGAAGTGGGGATCCTCCTGGCTCTTCTAAGATTTCCATCCTGTATGTCAGGAGTGTCTGGGGTTACCTTTGTGGTTCTTGGGGTCCTGGGAAACCCCGAGAACAGACACACTTGGCCGGCACAGTTCCAAGAACAGTGGATGAGTGGTCGTAGCCCTGCCTCAGCAGGGCAGTGGTCCACCCTGCCCCGTGGACTGACTCATACAGTCACCCACAGCAACCATGACCCTAAGCTGGACACCTTCCGTGCAGACTCACTGGGTCACCTATGCCCCCTTCTCAGGGAAAACCCTCCAAGTCTGAGTGACAGTGTGAGTCCACAGTCCAGGACCTGCTAAGTGACACATGTTTTTGTTTTTGCTTTGCCCTTGGTTGTGTTCCTTTAGGTGCAGGATATTGTCAAGTCAGGTGCAGCCCACACATTCATCATAACTGGAAAGAAAAGGTCCCTGGAGCTACAAACTCGGTAGGATCAGCCGCCTTGGAGTCTGCTGCTGTGGGAATGTGTTTGACCTGAAATTTTAGCAGATGGCTTCCTTTTCTCAACTGGATAATCTTTTGATGTGTTTTTATTTATTCATTTAACTGGCTTATTTGTGGTTTAAAATGTTCACAGTACTAAGGGGAAGTCAGTGAAAATTAGGCCTCTGCCCACCTCCTGTTCCCCATCCTGAGCAGACATTTTTAACCATCTCTGACGCATCCTTCTGAAATTTTTGTCCCCATACATACATACATGTATCTATTTTTAAAAATCACAGATGACCATTTTCTGTCTAGTCTGTTCTGCATCTTGCTTTTTTCAGTTAATTTATCAGAAATCATTCCATATATGATCACCATTTTCTAAAGTAGGATAATTTTCCAATATGGTCACTGGCTGGTTCCCACTGATGGGCATCTAGGCTCTTCTGGGGTCTTGTTGTTGCAAATGGTGCTGCAAGCAGTGTCCATGAACCAAGCTTTGTACAGATGTGTAGTTATGTACACTTGACAGATTCTTGAAGTGGAATTGCTGGCCAAAGGGTAGCACGTCCACTTTAAATTTTGGTGGCTGTTGTCACACTACCTTGTAAGATGGTGCCAGGCTCTCTCTGACTTGCAGCAGTACATGGCAGAGCCCATCTATGACCCACTGTGGCCCAGGGAGGTGTTGTGATTTGCATCCACTGCAGAGGGGTCTGCATACCAAGCTTAACCACATATAGTCACACCTGACTTCGTCTGGGCACACCTGAACTGCCCTGAACCCACATGGCCATACCTAGCTCCGCTTGGCCACACTCAACCTGACTGCATCTGGTGATACTGGCCTCATTGTCCCAGAGCCTGTGGGGCCACTCTTCTGAACCTTGAGTTGTACTTCCAGGCAGTGAGCAGCTCAGGCTGAGAGGAGTCAGATGGTTTACAGTCAGTATCTAAGACAAAATTAGGGCTTCCCTGGTGGCTCAGATGGTACAGCGTCTGCCTACAATGTGGGAGACCAGGTTTTGATCCCTGGGTCAGGAAGCTCCCCTGGAGAAGGAAGTGGCAACCCACTCCAGTACTCTTGCCTGGAAAATCCCATGGACAGAGGAGCCTGGTGGGCTACATCCATGGGGTCCCAAAGAGTTGGACACGACTGAGTGACTTCACTTTCACTTTCAAGACCAAATTAATAAAATACTGTTTTGGCTTTTATAGGACGGAAGAGGAGAAGAAAGAATGGATTCAGGTAAAGCTCCTAAAGTTTTAAAGTCACCAAATGACCAAATTCTTAAGCAGCATAGTCATTTCATTCTGGAGCAAGGGATGGGATGGCCCTGTGGCCCTTCAGGTGTTGCCCACCCATCTGTCCACCTTGAAGTGATGGATTGACCAAGCTTCTAAGTACCTTCCGACTCCACAAAACTTTGAATGCATTCTCTTATTTGGGGCTCCTCCTCAGTAAACAAACGTAAAGGCCTGGAAGCGGGAATGCAGGGAGGTGCCTTCTCTACTGGCTGACAGTTTGAAGGCGGGTCTGTGTCACCTTTCTCGCCATGGCTGGCAGGAGCGATGCACTGTGTGGATGAGCAGTTTGACTTCCAGGATCCATCCTGGATGGATGTGCTTCCAGTGATAGGCCAGGCAGCATCATGGGGCAGCCAGAGCAGGCTCAGCTCAGAGCTGGCCATGGTGGGGACATAGGTCAGGAGGGCCAAGGCAGTGTGAAGACCAAGGCAGTGAGCGGGGTTGGCAGACCACCACCAGGCCAAACGCTAGCCATTAGTGAAGTGTGGCTCACAAAATTCATAGAAGATAAATCTGAGTGAGGAGAGAAAAAGGAAATTCAAACAGATACTAGATGGTAATAATGCTGTTGCAGGAAATGGAAACACGGCCTCAAATCCATATAAAATGTTCCCAGAGAGTGTCTGCTTTTGGCTTGGAGCACTGCATGTGGGGTGGCATTGGGATCCATGGGAACTGGAGTGGGGACCTGGTCAGTCACTGGTCACATCCCTGGGCCTTGTTTTCTCACCTTATAGTGGGGGCTTTTGCCGAAATGTGAGGCTGTTGGTCAGAGGAAAAGGCAATGACCGTAGGACCCTGTCCTGACTTTCCTGGAATGCTCTCTGAGGGCCCTTGTTCTTTGTGGTTTTGTTTCAGGTCATTCAAGCCACCATTGAGAAACACAAGCAGAACAGCCAGACTTTCAAGGCCTTCAGTGGCTCCTTCAGCCAGGATGAGAATTCCCCCCTCACTCCAGAACCCCCTGTGAGAGCCAGCACCTGTTGGGTGACCTAGGCCCTTTCCACAAGGACTGGTATCTGGGAGGGAAGCTGGTCCCCACACTCTCCTCGTGCCCACCTTTACTGAGCATCCATGTGGGGACCCCTGCTCCCCGCAGAACGGAGGCACTCAGCACTCAGAACGGAGGGAGGGAAAGACAGGGCTGGATGAAGCTGCTACATGATCCTCTGTTCTCTCACGTGCTCTAGGGACTGTGATCGTATCAGCAGGCCTGGCTTCCTCCCAATGGGGAGTGGTCCCCAGGTCTGGGGGGAGCAGGGAAGCAGGATCCCTGCCCACGGCCAGATAGGTGACCCTAGGCCTTGGCCATCCCCTCTGTGTGGGCACAACCAAACATGAATTCATGGTGAGAGTCCTCAGAAACATCTCTGATGCCCAGCCCAGACTGGCTCAACAGCTCTGAGTCCCAGACACCAGGCCTGGTTGGTCCTCCCTGCGGCCCACAGGCCACCTCGTTATCCACTTCATATTTGCATCAAATCTCCATTTTGTCTGTTTTCCAGACTATTTTGGAAGAAAACTTTGTGTCATCCCCAGGCAGGAAAAGCACTATCTCCTAGCTTGAACAGAGGTGACCTGAAAACAGGATGCCCCTGCCCCACCCCATACCTGCTATTAAAGTCGATGTGGAGGCAGAGCCTGACCAAGAAGGCAGGGCACTGAGCTCTCCATGGATGCCTGAGGAAGGAGCTAGAACCCAGGGCCACCTCACGTGGTGTGATGTAGCCAGCCAGGCCCAATGGGCCTTGAGAAGCTTCATTCCTGCCCACCTTCCCCCACGCCCAGCTGGGAAATGATAACTATTTTGGGATGCCTTCAGTCCTCAGCCAGGCCAGGGAGGGGCTGATTGTCAAAAATCACAGCAAACACTAGGGCCCGACAGTCTTTCTCCTGACCCTGTGATCAGACGGAAGAAATGGTGGTATTCCAACATTACACTGGATGTCAGCATGTGGCTGTGGAACCTCTGCCCATGCCAGCTGTCTCTGTCCCTTTCAGATGATGAGCCCCAGCTCCGAGGTGCCCGCAGTGCCAGCCAACAGTGGAGGGGGAGCTTCAGGGGTGAGTGACCCCCTCAGCTGTTGGCATGGGTGGGAGGTGGAAGTTGGGGTCAGACCAGGGTGACCTGAGGGTGAGTCCTTAGGGGTAAGCCTTCCCCTCACTCCATGAGACCTGGGTCCTTACAGTGATGGCCTCTGGGGCCTGTCGGGAGAGGGCTGGGGTAAGCCTTCTGGGACCCAAATGTCCATTTTTTGGGGTGGGTGGAGGTTACACAGCTAAGATCTTCTGAAGACTTGTGCTCTTTACCATGAATAGAATAGCCCTGGATGAATGTGCATCAAGGTGATGCCTGGCCTTCAGCATGCTCAATCAGTGTGGGCAAAGATGGTATGTCCAGGGACAGCCTGTGTCCTTGTCCCCACTCTGACAGGGCCAGGCCATGGGACTATGCCTGAGTCCCGTTCACTCTGTCGGTCGGGAGATTAAGCAGGAGGGCACACGGGAGTGCCTTGCATGCAGTAAGTATGCAGAACAGGGGAGCGTCATTATTAACCACTGGGCCTAAGTGTCATGAAGTCTGATGACAGTTATAACCCTAGACTACCAGGGAGGTGCTGTACCCTGCATCCTGAGAGGGCATTCTCCTGGGCACCCTAGCCTTGCCCTTGTGTGTGCTCAGTTATGTCTAGCTCTTTGTGACCCTTTGGACTGTAGCCTGCCAGGCTCCTCTGTCCATAGGATTTTCCAGGCAAGAATACTGGAGTGGGTGGCCATTTCCTTCTCCAGGGGATCTTCCCAACCCAGGGATCGAACTAGCATCTCCAGGCAGATTCTTTACCACTAGCCCCACCTGGCCCTATTCCTCAGTTTTCCAGGCTCAAAAGAATGAGTGGGGGTCTGAGGCCCAGCCTGACACCTAACAGGGTATTTGCTCCTAGAAAGGAACATCTCCTGTGGGTGGGTCAGTACTGCCCCCATATTCTCTCCACCATGCCTGCCTCTCCTTCTCTCCCCTACTTCTCTTTCTCACGCCCTTATCAGGACCATTCCCCTGGGGGCACGTGCACCCCAGTCGGACAGCAAAGTCTGCCTGAATTTAGCACCAACTTCTACAGCTCCTTCTTTTCTGGCTACAAGGGCCACCTTGCTGGTCATTACCGCCATCCTGGGTTGGTGGTTGTGAAGGACAACTCATTTTAGGAAGCGGAAATGGGCTTGACAGGTGAGGAGACCTAGCCTTCGACTCCAAACTTTGTGGTGTGACTGGACTTCTCCTGGGATAGCAGCAGAGGGAGGGGACAGCTGCCTAGCTTGTCATGGGGAGTAAGTGTTCCTATCCTGACTTAGATTTTTAGTAAGAAAACTAATCTCTTCCTCCCACAACATCCATGCATTGATAGCATTGAGCCCCTGATGAGGCCCCAGAACAGATGCACCAGTGTCTGCCCAGCTCTGTTATAAGAGCAGAGGCTTTTCCAGGTCACACATGACCCCTGACCTGACATGTCTTGGATTGCAGGCACTGGGAAAACCCTGAAAAGTTCTTGGGCTCTGAGAGAAAGATATAGCTTTTCTAGAGCATGATGGGGTTCAGGGACCAATAGAGAGGAAGGAATCCCCTTATTTGAGTGATACTGCTGCCACAAAGTATGCAGTGGGGGTCAAAAGCAGCCTGTGCTAATTTGCTTGAACTCAAAGTCAGGAACTCTAAAAGCCACATGGTCCATTGGGGAGAGATGGTCTTATCACAGCCCTTCAAACTCCCTGAGAGGCTTCCTGCATCATGACCCTGTCTCGCCTTGCCTTCTTTCCAGCCCACCCTCCCCGACCAGGCCCTGGTCTCCCTCACTTAACCATGTCCCAGGGCCTGTGTACCTACTGCCCGCTCTGTGCAGAATGCCTCAATTATGTCTGCTCTACCCCAAGATCTGATCTGTGAGGCCTTCACAGCTGACCCCAGGATCACTGACAAGTGTTTCCCTCATGAAGCAGCCCATTATCAGCTTTATGAATCACAAAACCATACATGTAAGGGTTGCACTGTGCTACTGGGCTCCTTTCAGGGACGTCTAGGCATGTCATGAAAAGCAATCCACACATTCAGGCTTCCTCTGTGTAGCTGACCAGAGAGAAGTGACAGATAGGGTCTCTGCAGTTGGTCCCTTGGCCAGGGGTCTCTGGCAACTTCCGTGCTGGCCCTTTGCATAAAGCACTGCCTCTCTCTGCCTTCACAGGGGAGCTGAGCTGGATCCCATGCAGGGCCCTCTGCTATCTGACCCTTAGCCTGGGGTGGGCTACAAGGCCTCAAGAGCCATGAGCAACCCCCACTCTTTGCTGGGCGAGTCCATAGCAGGCCTCAGCCCTGGGATGCAAGCAGAGGTGGAATGGCTGCAGGCTGCATGGTCAGGGAGGCGGGGCTGAGGAGGATCCAGTGCCAAGGCAGGCAGAGAGAAGCAGGAGGTGTGGCTGGCACACGGGGCAGGCAGTGCCCACTGGAGAATGTTCTAGCTGGAAGGACCTGAAGGTCACATGTTTCATGTTTTAACCTGGGAGTGGGTCCTGACTTGAGGCCTTGGGCAATTCTTCACCCTCCACCCTTACCTTCTCCTGGATAGGAAAAAGAGAGAAACTGTTAGGTGCCTGTTGGCCACTTGGGTGCCCCTCTGATTGGTCGCCCAACTCCTTTTCTAGGTGAAAAGGAAACTGAGAGCCCCTGAGGGTCCGGGCCTCAGCCCAGTCCAGGGGTGTGTCCAGGCCAGGCTGCAGACCTGCTGGGCAGTGACAGCGGCAGTCAGTAGATGAGCAGGCCGCCCCTCTTTCTCCCACCGGGGGGCTCAGCCTTCTCAGGGCTTTGCAGCATCTCTGACTCGCAGATGCTTGAGATCACAGTTCAGGTTCTGACTCATAGCTCTGGCCCCGGCACATGTGGCCTGGCCATGGTTTTTCTCATTTGCGTCTCCGGTGAGCACAGATTTTAGTGGACCCAGGGCAACTCAGTGACGCTCCTGCCGTATAAGGTGAGTCCAAGATGTACTCAGTGGATATTTGTGGAAAGCACCCCAAAGTGGGTTTTAATTCTGACACTAGAAAGAGTGATCTTTGCTACAACATGCCAGATGTAGGCTTTTGGAGAGGAAATGTAACCTCCCTCTTGGTGTGCTGGTTTGATTTCCTGGTGTTGTCCTCAGACACACAGTTTCTACAAGTTGTCTTTCCTAAGAGAAGCTAAACCAGGAAGTTTTGCAAGGAGGCCTTGCAGAATCTAAAGACTTCCCTGTTCTGTAGAAATTACACCTCTCTTCACAGAAGCACAGAAATGTCAGAGTCCAAAAGGCCTCCCAGGGCCCCTGACCCACCGTGACCACACAGGGACCCCTCCCTGCCACCCTCTCCTCAGCACGCACAAATTTAGTACAACCCACCCTCCAGGGCCCTTAAACAGAGCTGCCCATGGGAGGAAGAGGGGCTGGGCCTCACCAGGCAGGGTCTAAGACGTAGTCACATGTCCACACCCTTCAGGACGGATGATAACTGTGTGGCTCTATCTTCCGGAGCTGGTTATCAGGACCACTGCTTGGGACCCACTTCTTAACATGAATTTTCCTCCTGCTTCCCTGCTTTGTAAGTGAATCTGCTGAAGAGAAAATGCTTAGTGAAACAGGCCCTGGCACATACCTCCTCCCAGGCCCACGCTTGCGTGTTTGGAGTGCTGCAGGTGGAGTCACTTGACTGTTATTGGAGAAAGCCACGGTTCCACACCTCCCCAGTTAGACTTGGCCCAGCTTTTCCAATGTCTCCACACCCAGAGAGAAAATCTAAGCCTCTCCCTTTTGTTGGCCTATTCTGTATCCTCATCCAAACAGGAAGTATGGTTGGCCAAGAAGACCTGTCCCCAACAACGCAGGTGGGCTCACCCCAGCCACCTGGTCACCAACTTTCAGTGTTGGGAACTGCGTGGGGTAGTGCATCAGTGGTGGGCCACAGTGGCTTATAGTCCTCAGCACGGAGGGAGCTGGTACCTAGCCTGAACCCTGTCTGAGCACTGAGCTACCTGACCAAGGAAGCCAGGAGGGTTGCTCTGCCGAGCCCCAGCCCCAAGATGCCCTGCTCTGGGAACTGCCCTCTGTCCCTCTGGCTGTCCTGGTGACCTTCACAGGCCGAGCTCTTGGCCACACGCCCCTGGTCCACTACAGCCTCTCCTCCATCTTGTGGGCCAGCCCTGGCCCTCCAGCCCCCTGCCTACCCCCTGGCCCTCAGGGATTCCCCAGAAGCCCCTTTGGTCCCCTGGTGTTCTCTGCAATTGTGCAGCGCTCTTCTCAGGGCCTGGAGAGCTGAGGTTCTGTGGCCCACGTCAGGGCTTGAAGGCAAGCCAGTGGATCCAGCCCCCCTACCTCTGACCACTCCCATCCCAAGTGCCCTTGGTGTTCTCACCTGGAAAATGGGAATGACAGGGTCACCGTGAAGGCTGGTGGAGGTCTGGGGCTTCTGGGGCTGCTGCAGACCCATGGATGGCCCCTCCCTTCTCTCCTCTTGTCTGAGCCCCAGCAGTTCTGGAGATGGTCTCCAAGGAAGGAACCCTGAGCGGGCCAGACAGGTGTGTCTCAGGGCTACAGTGTGGCTGGCAACCCGTGTCGGATGGCAGGGTGGCCTTGGGTGAGACGTATGGCTGTGGGGAGCGTCAGTGTTGCTTGTTGGGTCTGTGCTGCCCGTTCTCCACCCACAGAGCTCTGAGGTCCTGAGTTGCATGGAATAAACTGAGAGGGGGACATCTTAAACCCAGTGTCCATGGGGCCAGGGGTCATGAGATGGAGGAGAAGGGGGAGGTCTTGGGCAGAATAAGTGTTCCTATCACCCTCAGAGGCACCAGCTGTCTCAGGGCTCCTAGTACCAGGTGGCCGGAGCTGGCCTCACAGTGGTGGGGCCCACAGTGGGGACTATGAGCCGCAGAGCTGGGGAATATAGGCCTGTGTTCAGGCTGCTTAACAAAGTACCACAGATACTCTCTCACAGTTCTGAAGGCTGCAAATCCAGGATCAAGGTGTTAGCAGGGCTGGTTTCTCCTGAGGCCTGTCGACTTAAAGAAAAATGTACAACTTAAGAGTTGAATTTAAGTTTTATTCAGGGTCTTACTGAGGACTGTAGCCCAGCAGACAGCTCTGAGAAACTGATTCTAAGGGTGGGGGGTGGGGGGTGGGGCAAGGAAGGATATGAATGGATTTTTTTTGGCTAGGACATACATGTAATCAGGCATCCATCTTAGTAAAAGATGACTGCTAATCATAAAGAACACATATCTCAAGTTAATACTTTTGGTGTTTTTCTGTGCATGGGAGGATACAAGAATCTGGGGTCTTTGAAATTCTTTCTGAGATGTGTGTCTATCTTGGGGCCTGTTTCTCCAACACACAGAATGTCTCCTCTTGTATTTTCATTCTGGCTGCACTGTCTTGACTGCAGTGGTTGTGTCTAAACCTTGTATAACTGGATGATGAGTGACACTCTTTGTTCTTTTCTTGTTTACAGGCATTTCTCTTTGGCATATAGATAGCCATCTTCACATAGTCTTCCCCCTGAGCGTGTCCATGTCCTAATCGCCTCTTCTTATAAGGACACCAGTTATGTTGGATTAAGTCCCACCCAAGTGACCTCATTTTACTTTAATCACCTCTTTAAAGGCCCTCTCTCCAATTACAGTCACATTCCAAGGTGCTGGGAGTTAGAACTGCAAACTGTGACTTTTGGGGGACACAATTCAGCACAAGCCCCTCCTTTCTGTCTCCTCACCCCCAACCAGTGCCTCTCTTTCTCCTTAAACTTGCAGAGTTTATATTAAACATATCTCTAGCTTATTTTGTTCAGATTTTTATTATAGAAGTTTTGGACACACCGAAGTAGAGATAACGGCCAGCAAGCCCCGCCTCGCCAGTCTGGAGGAACTTCAGCTTTGTGCTGTGTTCCTTACTCCACTTTACAGATGAGGAACCAGGCTTGGAGAGGAAAAGTGACTCATGCAGTGTCTCACGGCTGATGAGGGGCAGGGCAGGGGCCTGGGAATTATCCCCTAACTTGCACTACTGCTAATCAGATGGGGAAACCTAATCAGACAACACTTCTGAGCCCCCATCCCAGCCTCACTGCCTGGTCAGTGCCCACTCCCACCCTCACTCCTGCCTGCTTCCCACTCACCTCCCAAGCCATTGCATCAGATGGGGCTGGGGTCCTAGACACAATTGATGTCACTATGGCCAGGGGGTAGGTGGCCAGAGCAGACCACACCAGCTCTCGAACTTCTGTTCATAGTGCAGAGGGGACACAGTCCTCGATGGGAGTGTGAAGTGGGGGGTGGGGGTGTTGGGGGTGCTGGTCAGTGAGTGACTGATTTGCTTTCTATATGTTTTTTGGTTTTCTTCTTCTTTCACAAGCTGTTCTGGTGAACAATTGAGACAATCCAGATAAGAGAGGCAGATAAGAGTAACTCTACCCCAAACAGCCAATAGGATCATGAGGGTGTGCTTCCTTCCAGCCTTTTGTTCATGCATGCAGCCTTTCTGGTATAAACATCATACGCTACTTTATGTTATTTTGCTATTTGCTTGTTTCCCTTAGTTATAGAACTCAACACCTTTAATCTTCCAATATGTCACCTTGACATCTACCTCCCATGCATGATTTATGTACCTGTTCCTTAGTTTTAAACTGCATCAGATTTTTTTAAAAAATTGCAAATATCTGCTTACCATAAAAGGAATAACTACTTTTAAGAAAAAAGCAAAGTGGTAGAAGAAAATGAAAACTCTCTCCCACTGCTGCCTGCCACTCCCAATTCCTCTTGGCTGCAAGGACTTTGATGTGGTTCTCATAAATCTTTTTGAGAAACCTTACACAAAACAGCTTGTTTGCACATACAAGAAAACAAAACAAAAGTAGAAGTATTTTATAGTGTGTTCTTGTGACTTGTCTTAAAGATCTTTTGACCTCTCTGAACACACACCACATTATGTTTCATGACTTCCTGTTGTTTCTCTTCTCTTGCTGAAAAGACTCATCAGTGCCCTCCTTTGGGGGAAATTCAGGCAGCATCAGAGGAGACAGAGAGGGGAGTCCAGCCCCCTGACCCTGCTCCTCCACCCCAGGAGAGTGCTGTCACACGTGTTGGGTGGGCAACTGCAGGCACCATGCCCTGGGGCCCAAGGAAGGATAAGAGTGTGGAAGCAAGGGCCACCTGGCCGGATGCTGGGTGCAGACACCCGGGTCCTCGGTGTCTGGACTTTGGTGCAGACCAGCCACCATTTCCTCTGGTGTGGGTTCCGGTTGTTATCTCTGCAGACACAGCAGGTTACGTCACTGACCTTTGTGGAGGGCCAAGTCATTCCAAGCATAGAGTTCCTGATCCCCTTGGAATTTCACTCTGTGTGATAGCAGGGCAGCTCCTGGGGGGCGAGGCTGAACGGGAGGCCGTGGCCAACGTGGCTTCTGCTTGATTCCCTTCCGCACGTCCAGCTTTCTTGCCCCGCATGTGCGTTGCCTGTGTGCCACACAGCTGCCCCTCCACACGTGCTGGGGAGCTGACTGCAGCGGTTTGCCTCCAACAGTCTGAGCCCAGGAGAGGGTCCTCTAAGACCAGACGTGACAAGGAGAAGCAGGGCTGCAGCGGCTGTGGTGAGACCTTCAACTCCATCACCAAAAGGAGACACCACTGCAAGCTGTGTGGGGCGGTGAGTCCAGGTGGAGGCCAACTGTTGGGACTTCCATGTGCTTCATTCCTCCTCCCAATCTTCTTTCCATGCACACAGACTCCCTGGATTCTGGACCCTCCGAGCAAGAAGGCAGGGCCTGGAGGCCCAAAGGGGTCCAGACTTGGAGTCTCTGCCTGCTGGACAAGGCTCCTGATCCCCCTGGCTCATGGGCAAGCCCTTCCCCTCCACATGATGTCACATCTCTCTTGGTCATTGTGGCCCTTCCAGCCTCCTTCTGGACAGTCTTCTGTCCCTGGGTGGTAGGGTCACAGGTGCCCTTGTCTTGCAGGTCATCTGTGGGAAGTGCTCTGAATTCAAGGCTGAGAACGGCAGGCAAAGCCGTGTCTGCAGAGAGTGTTTCCTGACCCAGCCAGTGGCCCACTTGAGCCCCAGCCTTGAGGAGCCCCTGGAGCCCAAGCAGAGCACAGAGGTGGGTGGGCTGGGTCTGGTGAGCCTTCCAGACACAAGGCCCCAGAAGCTTTGACAGATGGTGCTCCCAGAGCTGTTGGCTTCCCTGGGACCAGGACTGATGAGGCTCAGTTGGATCCATAGGCCACTTCAGGCAGCTAGCAACTGAATGCCAAATATCTCCTGTGTGCATGTTGGGCTTCATAGGATCTAGTCATGGTTGAGAGCTTGGGAATCATTTGCACCCTGGAGTTGGATGGTACATTAGTCAGCTCAGGCTGTGTAACAAATACCACTGGCTGGGCAGCTTAAACAACAGAAACTTATTTCATAACAGTCCTTAAGGCTGGAATTCTGAAATCAAGGGGTCAGCAAGCTGCTTTCAATTGAGGTCTCTCTCCTTGGTTTGTCAATGGACTTATTCTCTCTGTGTCTTCACATGGTTTTCTCTCTATGGGTATCCTAATCGCTACTTATGAGGACACTGGTCATATTGGATTGGAGCCCATACATATAACCTCATTTAACTTAGTTACCTCCTCAGAGGCCTCATCTCCAAACACAGTCTCACTGTGTTTATATTGGGGTGGGCAGTGGTGGCATTTAGGGCTTCAACATATGGGTTTAAGGGCAAACAGTTCAGCCCACAGCAGATAGGAACAAATTTCATCTTCACTCAAGGTCATCCTCATTGAAGGACTGGAGGCCCTGCTGAAGTGAGATGTTGCTCCCACCTTGACCCATCAGGGTGGCAGCGGCAGTGAGGACACCCGTCCCCTTCTCACCTCCTGTTCTCTGGAGCTGGCTGCTGCCCTCCAGGCCCTCCTTGAAGGGCACTGTCCCTATTTGATGAGGTAACAGGAAAGCTGGAAAAAAAGAGAATATGGCTTTTCAAAAAAGTGCATTTTTCCATTCTCTCCACATAACATAGTCTGTGATTCTCAAGGCCAGCTGCACATTGGAATCTTCTGGGAAGGTATTTATAATGTTCATTTCCCTTCACAAAGGTTCTAGGGAAGGTTACCCAGGTGGGCCAGGACTCTGGTTGGAGCCCCAGTTAGGGTCTCTCTGTATGTCTTAGAGGTTAAGTGCATCAGTGTATTAGAACTGAATGTAGTATTATCTCGACAGAGGAGAGAGGGGTCCCTTGCACAGCTCCCTTGGTTTTCTCATCCATGCATTTTAAATATTGTGTCTGGGAGACTCGTGTCCCAGGTCCAAGCAGGAACCAGTTTTATCAGGTGTGTCTGGGGGATTTTCTGATGACCTAGGGGTTGTGTCCATGACTGCTCTAAACACGTCAGAAGAGAGAGAAGGGTGCGTGTGATGTATGATGTATATGTGAATGAATGTGTGTGTGTGTGGTGTGTGAGGCGTGTGTGGGTATTGGGGGGTGGTATGGGTGTTTGTGTGTGGTATATGTGCAGTGTTATGTGTGAGGAGTGTACCTATGTGTGTGTGTGTACAGATAAATCACCAAAAGCCACCACATTCTGGTTTCCTGCAGTTCCAGTGCTTCCTACTCTGTCTTTATTTCTGTCTTTGACCTTTCTGTGGTCTCATTCCCTAGAGGGTCCAGCCCAACCCCAAGTGGCCTTGCAGTGACCCTGGGCAAAGTCAGGTGGGCCTAGGCCTGTCTTCCCCTCCTGCCTCTCTCCCCCCAGAGCCTTGGCCCTGATGCTGCCCCAGGAGAGTAGCTCTTAACAAGTGCGACTCACCTGACTTGTCCTCTGCGTTCCCAGAAGCCGGTCGCTGCGGAGCCCCCACCTGGCCTGCTCTGCGGCCGCCTGCAGGTGTCAGATGGCGGCACGGCATGGAGCAAGGTGTGGGCTGCCATCTCTGAGTCGGACTCCCTGGAGTTGGTGCTGCACCTCCACAGAGGCAGCCAGGTATGTGCTCTGGCCACGGGACCGCGCTGGGGGTGGGCGTTCACCCTGCCCCGGCAACCAGAACCTCAGGCCCGTGCCCATATAGGCCTGGGCCATGCTGCCTGGGACCAACTTCACTTGGAGGGTGGCTCACGTGACCCTAGGGCCTGTTTCCCCGACTGTCCAGAATCACCCTTCTGCTGCCCACTTGTGGGAGGTGGTATTTAGTGACGCCAGGACTCCAGAGGCTAGGGTGCTGACGCTCCTCTACTTTTCAGCAGGATGGCCAGCTGCTCCATGCCATCCCCCTCTCCGGCTGCAGGGTGAGTGTGCTGGACCCTGCAGAGAGACTGGATGCCAGGCACGTGTGGCAGCTGCAGCAGGCCCAGCAGTCTTTGTACCTGAGCGCCCAGTCTGCCGAGCTGCAGCAGCAGTGGCTGGAGGCTCTCAGCTCAGCAGCCCGCGGGCGTTCATCCCAGGCCAGCCTGGAGGCCCAGCAGCCCCAGGCCCCAGCTGCCCCATGAGCTGAGTCTCTGCCATGTCTCCTAACTGTACAGCCGCCACGGCAGGGCCTATGCTCTTCTGAGAGGTGGTGTCAAGGCCACACATGGGCATGAAGAGAACAGGCCACACAGCACTTGGCTCTGGAGCGTTCCTCCATGTCAGAGAGGAGAAAAATGAGGCCCAGAGAAGGGCAGCCAACTGCCTAGGTCATCCAGCATGTCTCTCAAAGACCTGGGCTTCTGCCTGCAGGCCCAGTCGTGTGGCCCAGAGTAGGGCGTGGGGTGACTGTCAAGTAAACTCTGAGCGGGCCATGAGCAGTCACCTGTGCCGGAAGACAGAAGGAGCTCATGGGCGGTGCCCAGGGACACCTGGTGGATGTCTGCAGTCATGCCATCCCTCCCAATGATTGCCCACCATCTACACCACCTACATCCATGCGAGCTGAACCATAACTGGCCCCTGGAATCCACCTCTCTTCTCTTTCCTCTCCCGGTGACTGGGCACAGCATTGTGCTGCCTTGTAGTTTGCCACTCCATTTGGAGATGCCCAAGGGGGCGAGTGGTAGGTTTCTAAATAACCATGCTGCAAAACTACAGGGGGATTACACAGGCATTCTGTGGGGCCCCGAGATTTGTGCATGCCTCCCCTGGTGGGTGGTAGACAGTGCTTATCTGCATAAATAAATAAATGCTGGCAGCCAACAGGTGGACATAGCCTTGGGGCAGGGTCTCCGCACAGTGGGCCTGCTGGTGGTTGGATGGAGAATGAGGGTAACAGGGGCACAGCCAGTCATCGGGGCCTGGACGCCCATACAGGCCTGCAGGGTGCAAGTCACACCCCTGTGGGTGCCCCAGGATGCAGTGGCATCAGATGGTGAGGCCTCAGACAACTGCTGAGGTGCCATGCCTGGACAACTGCTGTGTCCCTGCTCATGCTAGTGGGGTAGATAGGACCGTTTGCCCCTGAAGCAAGTGGAGCCAGGCTTAGCTACGGGATTGTGGGGTGCTGGGCACTCACAAAGTCGACAGGAAGGTCTATTTGGACCAGAGTTTGAGGGCCTTGGGAGAGAGCCGAGGGACTTAGAGAGTGATGACTGAGGGGTATCCAGTCCCTTGGGACCCCCATCTCTCTAACATCCACAAGGTACCCTGCAGGGATGTCTGTCATTGCCCAGTTGTGGGCAGACTTGCAGGGCACCCACCTGGAGGCTGAGAGGGCATCATGAGAACCAGAAATGGTCATGGGTGAGGTGGGGTCAGGCTCCAGTGACGAATGACAGGGCCCAGGTAAGGTGAGTAGAGTCCAAGTGAGGTGGTGGGGCACAGGTAAGGTAAGCAGGGTTGGTGAGCTACAGGTGAGGTAGGAGAGAGCACAGGTAGAGACATAGGTGAGGTGGGCAGGGCACAGGTGAACTTATGCATGAGTCAGCGCCATCCCCTGCATGCCCACCCTGCGATGCCTGGATGCTGCAGCAGCTGTATACCTGGGCCTCAATCCTGCATCTGTGACAGCCCACCCACCCTGCAGTGGGTGTTCTGATGCTGCTTGATAACCTGCCCACTGGGAAGGGGAGGCCAGGCCCTTCCAACTGTGCTCTTATTCAAGGAAACACAGCAAAGTCCTACCCAGGGAGCCAAGGCAGGTGTCAGAGGCAGTGAAGGGACCAGCCAGCCCCTCCCCACTGGTCCTGCCCCTTCTCCCTTGGAGCTCTGCTCTCTCTGCCTCATGCATTGACTGAGGGGGCCTAGTGGGGCCCCTTCTCAGAGTCAATTCTGTAATGCTCATCCTACCTGAACCCCAGGATGTTCCCACTTGACAGCTGAGGAAACTGAATTACAGAAAGGATGCCTCCAAGAGTCTCACAGCTCCAGACCAAGTGGACAGCCAGAATTGACCCACTGGACATGGTGCTACTCTGCCAGTCTGAGGGGTCAAGACTGGGCCCCCTAGTCAGGGTCCAGGGCTGCCACTGTGGGTTCTGACGCTGTGGCCAGTTCCTCAGTGAGCTCCTGGGCACCAGGGCAGGCCTGAGCCCTATCCTCTCCCACCCAATAGCTTGGGGAGCCTGGCATACTGGTATCCATGGTAATTTCAGGAGGGTCCTGTCCTCATTCAGCACATCGAAAGGTTGGTGAGGTGGCCATTCTGTCCCTAGCAGCTCGGGGTCCACCAGGACATCAGTCCATCGGAGAGTGTCCAGGGGCCAACTGCAAGGGTGAAAGCAGGAGGCGTTCCATCGGCTGTGACTGTAGCAGGACTGGGAAAAATGTCCTCACTGTCCAGTTTGGACAGTGCTGGACCCTGAGGATGCAGAGGAAAGGAAATTCCTGTTTGGAGTGGCTATTCCCATGGAGACACAGAGAAGAAAACGTGCAGCCAGGGAAGAGAGAAGCAGGGGGTGGGGGTGGGGGTGGCAGGAGGTACCTGGAAGCCTCACTCCTGACCAGGACGTGTTGGGGAGGGGTTACAGAGAGGATGCCTAAGTTGAGGGCAGGGCCACCAAGGTCTGGAGGAGCCAGTGACACACAGTGAGGAGAAGGAGACTGGGGGAGACAGCCTGGTCATGGGGTCTCCACAGGGTCTTTTTTGGTGATGCTCCAGGAGGCGAGAGCGATGGGGCAGGCTTGGGGGTCTTCATAGATCCATTTGGCTACAACAGGGATGACCAGGGCAGAGATGGAGACAGGGCCAGGTATCTCAACACAAACCCCCATGATGGGCACACCAGCAGTCATGGTGATATAGGGGTGCTTCTGCCAACTGTGCCCATGCAGGCATGGATCTATGTGGCCAGAGTTTCCAGCTTTTCAGGAGATGAAAGAAACTTGAATGTTCTTATGAAACATCCTGATAAATGTTAATAACTATTATAGAGTTTGAAACCATGGGGTGGCTGGCCAGTGGGTGGCTCCAGAAGGCAAGGTTCCAGGGACCCCTCCGGCTAGGGGCATCTGGCCTGCCTTGAGCCCTCTGGATGCCCCAGTAAGGACTGTGAAAAGCAGGCTGCCTGCCTGAAGTCTCCACACCATATGTCTGGGTGACTTTGAGCCTGGGCTTCTTCCCACGCACACATTGCCAACATCTGTCCACCCTCATCTTGTCCCCATAGCCCAGGGCCTGCCCACACCACACTGCCCACCCACAGCGCGGGGAGGTGGATGCATATTGGCTTTTAGCTTCTCCTCTGTCCTTCCTTTGCAATCATCTCCTCCTCCCCAACTCCAGCTCCCAACCCTGAAGGACTGGAGTTCATCCCCAGTCCCAAAGAATGCCAGTCAGGGCAGGAAAGGGTCTGAGGTACCCAACTGTCACAGGAGTTAAAGGCCTGAGCTAAGAGTCTCCTGTGCCTCTAGGGGCTGCTGCCTGCTCAGTGGGGGAACACGCATCCCCACTACGGCCACGGGGGATGTTGGCTGTGTCCCTCACAGTTGTGGGAAGAGGAAGGCACCCCCATACACAAGGGCCTGCTGCAGTCAGGCACCCAGCCCAGCCATTTGCTGAAAAGAATTATAACTCAGGGAGTGTCTTAGTAGTAATGAAACAAAGACCCAGAGAGGGAAATACACTTGCCCAAAGTCACACAGTGAATCAGGGACCCAGCTGGGTCACTCATTCACTCTCTGTCCATTTCTTCATGCAGCAGGCACTGACGGCATACCTGTGTGCTAGGCACTAGGGTGCCAGCTACTCAGATTTCTGGGACTCAGGGGTTGAATAATGCCCTGTAATCTCTGACCCTGCCACATTTCCAGCCTCATTTTCTCCTGCCCTCCCTTGATCCCCTGCTGCTTCATCCTGTCCCCAGATTACCAGATTCCAGTCACTGGGTCTTCAGAACATACTAGTCTCCCTCCCATCTCAGGAGATTTGCACATGCTGTTTATCTGCCTGGGGGTTCTTCCTTCATGACTTTGCAAGAGTCTGCTCCATGAACCTCAGCAGAGCCCTTGCCCTAATCTCTCTCCTTTTTGTTTGGGTATTTGCCTTTTTGTTTAATCTCTGTCTCCTCATCTAGAACAGAAGCTCCGAGGGCAGAATGAAGCACCTATGATAGCACCTGGCACAGAGTAAGTGCTCAGTTAGTATCTGCCAGCAGCATTAGTGAAAGTTCAGAGACTCTGCTCTTGTCATGCAGCCCCAGAGCACTTTGGGCCTGGAATCCTCTTTTAACAGATCTTCCCTAGTAACTCAGATGGTAAAGCGTCTGCCTACAATGCGGGAGACCCGGGTTTGATCCCTGGGTCAGGAAAATCCCCTGGAGAAGGAAATGGCACCCCACTCCAGTACTCTTGCCTGGAAAATCCCATGGACGGAGGAGCCTGGTAGGCTGCAGTCCATGGGGTCATAAAGAGTCGGACATGACTGACTGACTTCACTTCATTCACTTTAACAGATCAGGAAACAGAGCCAGTGGCTGCCTGGGGTCACAAAGGCCCAGTGGCTCTCCTGCCAGTTTCCCCTCAGACACCTGGTCCCATTGCAGAGAATAGCACATGAGACCCAGAGAGCTGCCACGCCCCCAGAAAATGAGCAGAGGGGCACTGGGACACAAATGAGTCTGACTTACACTTGCGCCCATCCCTCACTACCCTCCCAGGGGACAGTGGACCCCTGTACACACAGAAGGTGGTAGGATCAGCCCCTGAAGCCCCGGCTGACACTCCCAGGCCTTGGGGGGCCCTAATCCTCATCCCCTAGATGCTCACAGGGCTTTCCCACCTCCTGGGGTCTGACAGGGCCCTGGAATCCAAGCCCTTCTGAGCAGCTGGTCCAGGTGCTGGGCACCCAGGAAGGAGGGTGGGCTCACCTCCCCAAGAGCCACTGCAATGTGTCTGTAGACGAGATCTCTCTGAATGATCCTTCCGGAAGCCCAGCTGGCAACTGAGAGGGGCTGTTCTGTGGACCCCCATCGCCCATTCCTATTAGTCACCTCCCCTTCCTCGTGGGGTTCCCAGGGGGCTGTGGATGGTCCCAGAGGACTTCAGGTGGTCACAGGGGCTTCAGGTGGTCCTGAGGGGC